AACTTCCAAAGTGGGATCTGCCATCCTCTAATCTTGAATCAAATATATTTAATAGATCTTTTTTATTTTTTAGCGGGAACAGGATATCTACTTGATAGGTTTACTGATGCAAGGATTAAACAGGCTGATGCATGTACAGCCTTAGCACAAAACCAGGTCAGAGAAATTTAGCAAAAAATAGAATAATAATAGGCCAGGCACAGTGGCTCATGCCAGTAATACCAGCACTTTGGGAGGCAGAGGCAGGCAGATCACCAGAGGTCAGGAGTTCAAGACCAGCCTGGCCAACATGGCAAAACCCTGTCTCTACTAAAAATAAAAAATTAGCTGGTCATGGTGGCACAGGCCTGTAATCCCAGCTACTCAGGAGGCTGAGGCAGGAGAATCACTTGAATCCAGGACACGGAAGTTGCAGTAAGCTGAGATCGAGCCACTGCACTCCAGCCTGAGCAACAGAGCAAGACTCTGTCTCAAAAATAAATAAGTAAATAAGTAAGTAAGTAAAAATAGAATAATAATATATAGTGATAGGTATTATTAGATCCAGCTGGCCTGGCATATGGTTGGCATATGTCTCTAATTTCTGCCACTGATGCCAGTCTCCCCTACCTTTAATTTCACTGGTCACTTTAGAGAATGCTGGAAGTAGGAGGTTTGTTAACTGGGTCCACTGGCTCTATATTATCATTTTGCCCAGGAGTTTCTCTTTATATGTTTGGGCTGGTTTCTATAGGTATAAGAAATAAATTGATTTCCAAACATTTATCTTAATTTAATTTAATTTTTTGAGATAAATTCTCACTCTATCACCCAGGACGGAATATAGTGACACCATCTTGGCTCACTGAAACCTCCGCCACCTGAGTTCAAGCAATTCTCCTGCCTCAGCCTCCCTAGTAGCTAGGATTACAGGCGTGTGTACCACGCCCATCTAATTTTTCTATTTTTAATGGAGACAGGGTTTTGCCATGTTGGCCAGGCTGGTCTTGAACTCCTGACCTCAAGTGATCTGCCTGCCCCTGCCTCCAAAAATGCTGGGATTATAGGTGTGAGCCATCGTGCCCAGCCAAACAGTTGTTGATAGTGGCATCTTTTTAAAATTTTGTAATTTAATTACTTATTATTTATTTATTTTGGGGGACAGTGTCTTACTCTGTCACCCAGGCTGGGGTACAGTGGTATGATCATAGCTCACTGCAGCCTCAGACTCCTTGGCTTAAGTGATCTTCCTGACTCAGACTCCCCAGTAATAAGTGCATGCCACAACGCCCAACCAGTGTTTTTTCTAAAAAACTTTTATTTTCTTTTTTAATTTTTGGTAGAGATGGGGTCATGCTGTATTGCCCAGGCTGGTTTCGAACTCCTGGGCTCAAAGTGTTGGGTTTATAGGCATGGGCCACCATGCCTGGCCAATAATGGCATCTTTACCTCAAACCTAGTTTAACAAAGAATACATTTCTCCTTTCTCTTGTACGTACATGTGAACTATTTATGATAAAAGGAGTTGACTGGGCAGCGTGGCTCATTCCTCTATTCCCAGCACTTTGGGAGGCAGAGGCGGGAGGATCACTTGAGCCCAGGTGTTCGAGACTAGCCTGGGCAACACAGCAAGACCCCACCCCTTGTATCTCTATTTTTAAATTTTTTTAATTTGAAAAATTATCAATACAAAAATTAAAAAGTAGTTACCTTGTTAAGAAAATGTCTTACTTCCTTTGTTTTAATCTTGTTTGTTGTTTTTACTGTTTTTAAGTTAGCTAGGGCTGTTTAATTTCATCAAATATGGTTTCAGTATTTATTGAAATTATGTCTATTTTACACTTTCGTTTCCTTGACCTTGTGACAGACATGATGTATAGAGATTTTCCCAGAGCTCCCCTTGGAAATGAGTAGCTAACAAACTACTTTTATGTTCAAAGTAGTGGCAAAAGGATTGGACCGTGCAATAAAGAACATGAGGACACTGAGACATCCGTTCAGGGGAAAATTGAAGTTTGATTCCTTCCTTGCAACCACATAACACTTCTAAGTGGATTAGACATTAGACCTTGAGGAAACCTTAAAACTGTTTGAAGAAAATACAGAAAAATATCTGCAGCCTTGATTCGAGGAATCATAATCAAGTTGTGAACTCTGTAAGTCATAAAAGAAAATACTGAGAGATTTGGTTACCTAATATTTAAAACTTCTGAACGAGGAAAGACTCCACCAAGAAAGTTAAAGACAACGGAAGGCTGGGAGAAGATATTGCCAACATATATGACAGACATTACATTAATAATCAGATTATAGAAAGGAAAGGGAGGAAAATAGAAAAAAGTAATTGAAGAGGCAAATAAAGCCTAATCTCACTTATAATAAATAGTTTGTAAATAAAATAACAACTTTTATTTGGTAACTTTTTCCATCATCAAGCTGTCAAAATTTTAACTGATAAATATCCGGTGTTGGAGAATGTAGGTGACCGCTAGGTTTACACTTCAGCTAACTGCAATCCAGAAGTATTTATGTAAATAGCGCCCCCTGCAGCCCAATTCCTACCGAGACCAACATATACTCCGGTTCACGTTGGAACAGCGCTGAAAGACTCCTGTCCCTCCTGTGGGCTTAGTGACAATTTGAGGAACAGTTTTTGGCCTACCTGGCAAAACGTAAAATGCCCTTTGACACATGATTCCTCTTCCAGCCTTTCAGAAATACATGAACTATGTACCTAAAGATATATGCAAAAGTATGTTTATTAAAGCATATTTTATATTGGAGGAAAAAAGCAATCTACATGCACATCAATTTGGACTGTTTGGACAAATAATCCTGCTTGTATCCATTCAATGGGATATTTTGTAACTCTTAAAAAATGAAGTGGAATTATCTGCAACCTCCGCCTCCTGGGTTCAGGCAATTCTCCTCCCTCAGCCTCCTGAGTAGTTGGGACTACAGACATGCGCCACCATGCCCAGCTAATTTTTTGTATTTTTAGTAGAGACGGGGTTTCACCATGTTGACCAGGATGGTCTCGATCTCTTGACCTCGTGATCCACCTGCCTCAGCCTCCCAAAGTGCTGGGATTACAGGCATGAGCCACCGCGCCCGGCCTGTTTTCGTTTTTAAAGACAGAGTTTTGCTCTTTTGCTCTGGCTGGAGTGCAGTGGTGCAATCTTGGCTCACTGACACCTCCACCTCCTGGGTTCAACGGATTCTCTTGCATCAGCCTCCCGAGTAGCTGGGACTAAGGAGTAGCTGGCGCCCAACACCACCACACTCTGCTAGTATTTTGTATTTTCAGCAGAGATGGAGTGTCACCATATTGGCCAGGCTGGTCTCAAACTCCTGACCTCAGGTGATCCACCCACCTTGGTATACCAAAGTCCTGGGATTACAGGCGTGAGCCACTGCACCCAGCCAAGATTTAATGTTATGGCTGAGATAAACATGAATGAAAGCCAATCTTCAAAATATCTCTTATTTGATCTTATGTATATACATTTGAGTCTAATTGTACATTAGACAGATGAGGAATGCATGGAACTGGAACAGGCACAGCCTACCAAGCCGAGGGGACTGGACCTGAATCGTTGGATGGAGGGAATTCATAACAAAAAGGCTTTCATGTTTTACTTTCATGTTTACATTGAAGTATACTTAATTACTTTATGCTCTCCCACAACAAGAATGTATTGTTTATGGTTTGTTTTTCTTCTTAATCTTAAATTCAGAATATAAGGTAGCCCACTGGCTCTGAGCTACAAGAATCCTTATCGGTTTGGCAGTGCTATGACAACTTTGCACCTGGCTGAATTATCAAGGAATGTTCTACCACCAAGCATGAGATATTCTTGGCATTCCTGAAATAAATTCTTCTTCTGAGCCAGCTCATGTGGGCATCATAATCTTCTTGAGAGCTTTTGAAAGATCTAGACCTGGAGCCGGGCCCAGTGGCTCATGCCTGTAGTCCCAGAACTTTAGGATGCTGAGGAGGGTGGATCACGACGTCAGGAGTTCGAGACCAGCCTGGCCAACATAGTGAAACTCCGTCTCTACTAAAAACAGAAAAATTAGCTGGGTGTGGTGGCAGGTGCCTGTAATCCCAGCTACTCAGGAGGCACTGAGGCAAGTGAATTGCTTGAACCTGGGAGGCGGAGGTTGCAGTGAGCTGAGATTGTGCCACTGCCCAGCAGCCTGGGCGACAGAGCAAGACTCTGTCTTGATAATAATGATAATAAAATAAATAAATAATAAGTAATTTAGATTTGAGTCTGTCTCAGATTCTCGGGCTCAGAACCAGAATTTCTGTGTCTGAGGCTATTATGTCGCTCCCGGGGAGGGAGTAAGAACTGGATCACTGGTTAGCATGGTGACTGTTTTGGACAACACACAGCCACAGCCAAGAACACAGAAGGCAGAGGGGCAGCCTTGATCTGCAAGGGCTCCAGTTAACCCCAATGGGGACCCCTGATGGACAAGGACATTCTCCCAGGCTTGCTGATGAAAGCGTTCTACTTACAGCCAGGCAAGGCACTCAGGGCTCTGCAGCAGAGAGGTCAGAGCTGCAGCTTTTTTGCTTTGTGTTTTCACTAAACCTTCATTTGTTGTTGCACTTTGTTGAATGGGCGTGTCCCATAGGGGAAGTTTCCACTACTGCGTTCCAAACTTTGGACTGCTTGTGGCATCTTACTTGTTGCCTCATTAATAATGAATTAAATAAAACCTTTAGAATATGCTAATTTCATCTTTACGAGAGTCACAATTTTACCGTTTCTTTTTCTTTTTCTTTTTTTTTTTTTAAGTACCAGTACCTTTTCACGTTGCTATCTCCCTTACCAGAGCAGTGAGTTTCTGGGTCTCCTTCTTAGGGCCAGACACTGTTTCGTGTCATTAGAATTAATTTATCATTCGTAGGTAGACAAGCAAAAGCTTCCACACTCCCGGAGACAGGGATTCAGATCCTGTACCATCGCTGAGGGTAATGCCGAGGAAGGCACTTCTTTCCGAGCCTCAGTCTGCCCGCCTCTGAAATGGGCTCACAACGAACCCCTGACCCCAGGCTCCGCCGCCTAGAACCAACGCCCTCACCCAATCCCTCCTCTTCCCTCAAGGGCCCCCAGGAGGCGCGGGGACTCCGGAGGCGGCCCTTTCCCCGGGAGGCGCCTGGGTGGCACGGTCAGCGTCTCAGCTCCTGGGGTCTCTGGGCTCCGCGCTGCCCAAGGGGTGTAGAGGGGCCTCTGGAGGGGGCGGGTTCGCTCCAGCCAGAAAGCCCGGAGCCGCCCAGGAATTTTGGCTCGGACTTAGAGCATTTCCTCCCAGGCCGGCCGGGCGCGATCAGGGGAGGGCTGCTGCGGGCAGACGCGGCGCTGCTCTGGGCCGGGCCGGCAACATGCGGACCCTGCTCGGCGCGCTGGCCGGGCTGGCTCTGCTCCGTGCCGCGGGCGCTTTGGCTGGTGAGTGGGGCGCCGGGCGCGGAAGGGGACCCGCAGATGGCGAGGAAGGAATGGGCAAGAGAGAGACAGAGAGAGTTGGACACTACAGCGGGATGGAGAGAGAGGCAGATGCAGGGAGGGAGGGATGGAGAGAAAGACGGTGAGAGGAAACAGACGCAGAAAGGGCAGAGAAGCAGAGCAACGGAGAGATAAAGAAGAGAGGGAAGAATAAATCGTGAAAAGGAAAAAGGACAGGCCGAGACAGAAAGAGGCTTTGTAGATGAACAGATATGAACTAAGACAGAAAGAAAAAGGAGTTTAAGAGACCAAAGAGAAGGAAAGAGAAACAGTGACTAAAATGGGGTGGAGGGAGAGAGGATATTGAAGCAAAGAGAAAGATTTGAGAGAGATCACAAAGGAGAGAGAGGGAAGCTCAATGACGGGAGTAGAGCTGGCAAGAGAGGAGCCAGGATCTGGGGTGGGAGGTCACAGCTGCTGCGTGGGGCAGCCCGGGAGGCCAGCTACATCTCAGAGGGCCTGCGGAGGCTCAGGCCTGGCTTTATAGGACTTTGTCTAAGAAGCCAGACTCCAACGGGTGAGTGACCCAGGCCAGCTCATACAGCCTCAAGGAGCCAGGCAAGCGGGCCCAGGAGAAAGGCCACTGCTTCACCTGCCAGGTGGCCTCAGGGGGTGTTGCAGTTGGTGAGGAAGTCAGCCTCCTGGTTTCCAGGGAGCTTCTCTGGGGGACTGAGCTGTTTTGGGTGGAGGTGGAGCCCTGGGTGGAGGTGGAGGGCTGTTCGGGAGGGAGAGGCTCTCTGGGTACTCCATTAGCTGGGTTCCTTGCCTTTTACTCTCCCTTTTCTTTCCCTCACCTCTCCCCTCAGCTTAATGTTGCCCCTTCACAGGTGAGGCTCAGGGTGACTCAAGTCAAGTGACTTACCTGACTGTAGTCTTGACTGTACACAGATGCTCATTCCACCACCCTGCACATTGCACAGGATTTTATAGTTTACAAGCCACGACCCCATTTAGTCAGGGATGGCTATTGCTCACTTTAGCTGTCCAGGTGAGGGGTAAGCTCAGTTCTCATGGTGGTGCCAAGGCAGAGCCCTCACAAAACATCCAGGCTTCCTGCCCCCTCAGTCCTTGCCCCCACCCAGGCAGAAGTGCCCTGTGCTAAGATAGAAGCCCCCATCCCCTTTCAGGGCCCAGTGAACTGTGGGAGTGAGCACTTGGGGAAAGGATCCAGGCCAGCCCTCATGATCCCTTACCTTGGGTGAGTCCTTTCCTTTCTCTGGGGCTATTTTTTCCTCTGTCAGTTGGGGAGAATAATACCCACCCCACAGGTCTGGCCTCAGGGATTAGATGAGGGAGGAAGTGCCCAGGAGGGAACATGCATCAGCACACATTCTCTCAGATGACTCCACTGATTTCTCTGAGCCTCAGTTTCCCCACCTGTTAAAGATAACCAGCAATGACTTTCTCACAAGCTGTATGAGGAGTGGCTGGGACTCTGCCCAGCATAGAGTAGGGCCCCAGTACACACCCTCTCATCCGCCTCTCCTTTACCCGCCTCCCAGCTCAGCCCCAGGCTCCAGGAGCTGAGGGCACAAAGCAGAGCCTGTGCTTCTCCCAGAGGGAGGAGGGAGTGGCCACTTTTGTAGAGAGAATTTAAACCCATTTTTAAACGTTGTTTTTCTTTCTGATTATGCACGTTCATTGCTACAGATTAAGAAGAAAAGGATTTGGGGAGGCCGAAGCGGGCAGATCACAAGGTCAGGAGTTCAAGACCATCCTGGCTAACACAGTAAAACCCCGTTTCTATGAAAAATACAAAAAAATTAGCCAGGCAAGGTGGCACATGCCTGTAGTCCCAGCTACTCTCAAGGCTGAGGCAGGAGAATCGCTTGAACCCAGAGGGCAGAGGTTGCAGTGAGCAGAGATGGTGCCCCTGCACTCCAGCCTGGGTGACAGAGTGAGACTCTATCTCAAAAAAAAATAAATAAATAAAAGAGAGAGAGAAGAAGAAGAAAAGGAGGAAAGTATGATTAACGCAATTTCACACTGACTTCATATGTTTTTGTGCATAATCTTTCAGATTTCAGATATCTTTTTTTTTTGAGACGCAGTTTCACTCTTGTTACCCAGGCTGGAGTGCAATGGCGCGATCTCGGCTCACTACAACCTCCGCCTCCTGGGTTCAGGCAATTCTCCTGCCTCAGCCTCCCAAGTAGCTGGGATTACAGGTGCACACCACCATGCCCAGCTAATTTTTTGTATCTTTAGTAGAGACGGGGTTTCACCATGTTGACCAAGATGGTCTCGATATCTTGACCTCGTGATCCACCTGCCTCGGCCTCCCAAAGTGCTGGGATTACAGGCGTGAGCCACTGCACCCGGCCTCAGATATCTCTTAACTTTTGATTATGAAAACTGTTGGATACAAAAAACACAAAATAATAGTAAATGAAAGAATCACATAATGTACTTATCAACCCTGCTTCAACAAGTTTTAGTAAATGGGCAGTTTTATCTCATCTACAGTCCTCACCCCCTCCCCTCCCTGGATTATGGAATCCAGGCATTGTATTTTTTCTTTCTTTCTTTCTTTCTTTCTTTCTTTCTTTCTTTCTTTCTTTCTTTCTTTCTTTCTTTCTTTCTTTCTTTCTTTCCTTCCTTCCTTCCTTCCTTCCTTCCTTCCTTCCTTCCTTCCTTCCTTCCTTCTTTTGTGCAACAGGATCTCATTCTATCACCCATACTGGAATGCAGTGGTGCAATCTCAGCTCACTGCAACCTACGCACCCCCAGGTTCAAGTGATTCTCCTGCCTCAGCCTTCCGAGTAGCTGGGACTACAGGCATCCACCACCACACCTGACCAATTTTTGTATTTTTAGTAGAGACAGGGTTTCACCATGTTGGCCAGGCTGGTCTCGAACCCCTGGGCTCAAGTGATCCACCTGCCCTGGCTTCCCAAAGTGCTGGGATTACAGGTGTGAGCTACCACGCCTGGCCTGATATCTTGTATTTTCTTTCTTTCTTTTTAGAGACAGGGTTTCACCATGTTGTTCAGGCTGATCTTGAACTCCTGACCTTATAATCCACCTGCCTCAGCCTCCCAAAGTGCTGGGATTACAGGTGTGAGCCACCGCGCCCGACCCATATATTTTCATCTATAAATATTTCCTTGTGTATCTCTAAGAGATAAGCACTCTTTTAATAAACCTAACTGCAATGCCACGGTCGTACTCCAAAAAGAGTGTGTGATTGAACATCATTAAATATTCAATCACTGTTCAAATGTCTTTGATTGTGTCATGTCTTTTGACAATTCATTTGTTTGATCCAAATAAGGTTACATAAACTGCATTTGGTCAATATGTCTATTAAGTCTCTTTAAATATGTAAGTCTTCTCCCTGCTGCCCCCCCTTTTTTTTTAGATGGAGTCTCGCTCTGTCTGGAGTGCTGTGGCTCAATCTCAGCTCACTGTAACCTCTGCTTCCCGGGTTTAAGTGATTCTCCTGCCTCAGCCTCCTGAGTAGCTGGGACTACAGGTGCGCACCCTGACACCCCGCTAACTTTTGTATTTTTAGTAGAGACAGGGTTTCACCATGTTGGCCAGGATGGTCTTGATCTCCTGAACTTGTGATCCACCCACCTCGGCCTCCAAAAGTGCTGGGATTACAGGCCTGAGCCACCATGCCCAGCCTTTTTTTAACTTAATTTTTTTGTTGTTGTTGAAGAAACTAAGTTTGCTCTGTAAAGTTTTCCACATTTAGATTTTGCTAATTGTGTCCTTTTGATGTCATTTAAATACCTCCATCCCTTAAATTTTCTGTAAATTCAGATCTGTCTCTTGCTTGTCCGACTTTCAACCCTGGTTTATTTTATTTTATTTTATTTTTGAGACAGTCTCATTCTGTCACCCAGGCTGGAGTGCAGTGGTGCAATCTCGGCTCACCACAACCTCTGCCTCCCACGTTCAAGCAATTCTCATGCCTCAGCCTTCTGAGTAGCTGGGATTATAGATGCCGTACCAGCACGCCCAGCTAACTTTTGCATTTTTTAGTAGAGATGGGGGTGGGGGTGGTGTTGGGTTGCACTATATTGGCCAGGCTGGTATCAAACTCCTGACATCAAGGGATCGGCCAGCCTCTGCCTCCCAAAGTACTGGGATTACAGGTTGTTAGCCACCATGCCCGGCCCCAGTCTTGGTTTCTTTCAGCAGCACTCAGAGAAACCTTTATTCCCTGATGGCCTTTTAGACCATCAGCCACTATGCCAGGCCCACATTTTGGAGCTTTTTATAGAATCATTTGAAGAATAGTGTTCTGCTGCTTTCAGAAATAACCAAAACCCATGGATGGTTTTGAATGAATCATACATCTTTATACAAGTATTGGATGTGGTAAAGTTTATTATTCTATTACATTGAATGTGGTCAAATATAATTAACCCCCAAGTGTCCAGGGTTGCTTCTCAAAGCAGACCCTTTTAAAGAGTGTGACTTTGATAATTCAGAAGACACAGCAACACCTTTCAGAGACGCCACTGAGAAAACATTTCTCATTGCCCAGCATGCAGAAATCATCTGCGTTGTGGCACTTTCTTACTGTTTGGGTTCAGATACAAAAGGTCTCCCCATAAGGCCGGGAAGTAGAGGGAGCAGTACTTCAGCCTCAGAGGATGGCACCCAGGGGCCACATCTCTTTAACTGGGGCAGCCAGCCCAGCCCAGCCCTCCCCTGGGGCCTCCTGGCTCCACAGCAGCCTGTTCTCACCAGCACAGGATGCCCCGCCCGTGGCCACTATCCAGGGTGCACATCAGGCCCGGAGCAGGAGCTAGGCCAGAGAAAACAACGCAGCATCCAAGGAGGTCCATTTTCCAACTGGCAGGGCCCAGGAGGGTGGGAGGAAAGGAAGGAAGGGAGCCCTGTGGGGCCACAGCCTTGGCTGCTCAGGGTTAATCATCAGAATCCTTCAGCCTTTTCCACTCCCCTTGTCTGAGCCGCTGACAGCCCCA